GCTTCGACCAGCCATTTAATGGGAAATCTGCTTTCCAGATGACTGCATATGAAGATGAGAAGTTGGGTGTGTGTTTTTGCCTTTTCAAAGAGTGTTTTTTTTTCATTCAATTTCCAAATGTGGGGTGACAGGTCCTCTAGGGAGCATTTTCAGAAGTGTGTGAAGTTTGCATCTGATTTTGAAGGAAAGTTGGAGGCTTACCTGTATGTACAGGCACATGTCCTCCAACAACTATATTGATTACAAGGAATAAGGGCCATTCTTTTGGATCATTAATTTGACATGGATCTTGCATTTGTATTCAAGTCTGTAGTCATAAACTTTGCTCCTATCTATGTCTCCCCAATTTTCCTGTTAAGCTTCCAGAATTTGCAGTATGTTCAATTGCAGATGACCACATAGGGAGTTATTAAACAGCACCTCTTCCTCTTCAGGTCTTCTTCTTCAAGTCTTTCTTTGTCAGCATGCCCTTGTTTTCTGATTATGTTTAGATTCCATCTTTTGGAAGTTTTTATCCTTCCCACCATCTCAGTGTCTCAGACACTTTTGGGAATGAGTCTCATTCCCCTCTGGGTTTGGCCAGGTCACCCCTCTGACTGGAGGTGTGTTCCACAAAAGTTGCTGGTAGCGTTGCTCTTTACACTTACAGAGCCCATTTTCATGGGTCCATGAGCCTGGGCAAGATGCTGTGAGTCAGGCAGGGCAAGAACTCTTATCCTCATCACAGAGCTGAGGCAGCCATCCTTGGGTTATTTCACCCATAAAGGAGCCCCTATACATTGGCCCAATTTGTTGGTTAAAAATGGCCAATTATCAGCCATTTCAGAGTGTCAACTTAATAGCAAGTGGGAAATGCAGGACCAGAGCTTGGGTCTTCAGCCTCCAACTCCAGGGAGTGTCCTCTATACCCAACTGCCCTATCTTGTACCTTTTTCTCTACGGGAATGTCCCAGAAATTGGTATGGCACCCACCAGACTCCTTGACTTATAGCCACCACCAGGACAACAAAGGAACTGGTGTAACTCTTGTCTGTTGTGTCAGAACTGTGTGGGACAGTCTTTGGGACCAAAAGTACTTTTTAAAAAAATTTTGTTATTTTTAATTTAATTTTTAGAAGTTCATTTATTTACATGATCCAAAAATCGAACTAGTAGTAAAAAGTCTACATTAAGAAGTCTTGCCCCACCTGCGTCTTGCCCACCGATTTCCCCACCCAACATATACCATCTATATGTGATCATTTGTATTAGTGTCATGTGAATCCTGTGTGTGTTATGGAAATAAAAGTAAATATAGAGACATATTGTTATTTCCCCCCACTTTTAAACAAAAGGTAGTATATCTTGCATACATTGTTCTGCACCTTGCTTTTCATCACTTACCAAGATGTTTCACAGAGTATTTCATTTTAGCATATGGGGAGCTAACTTGCTTTATAGTTACATGTATTCTACTATAAGTATGTACTATAGTTTATCTGCTTTCCTGTAGCTGGAAATTGGGCTGTTTCTAATTTTTTTGCTATTATATGTCTTGTTGCAATTAACTACATATATATATATATATATATATATATATATATATATATATATATATATATATATATATATATATATATATATATATATATATATATATATATATATATATATATATATATATATATATATATATATATATATATATATATATATATATATATATATCTCACTTAGGTATATGTGCACCTTCCTCTATGTGTACATTTATTTATTCTCAGAAGTTGAATTGCTGGGTCAGCAGGAAAATTTATTTATAACTTTGATAGATGTTGCCTAACTATCCTGCAAAGGGCTTGAACGGTTTGTGCTCCCACCATTAGCGCATGAGAATGCCTGTTTCTCCACAGCCTCACCAAAGAGTGCATATCAATCTGAAAGGTGAGAAATGGGAGGCAGATGCCTAAGTGACGACTTAGTGTCTGACCTTGCCTGGTTTGCAGTGGGCACACTGCAGAGTTCCAGGAGCTGGTGTGGACTTTAGTCCCAATGGAAATAATGCCTCGTGGTGGCCAGCTCTGGTGACACACATGGAATGGACCCACGTTGCCACTTGCAGAATTTCCTGCGGTGGAAAGTTGAGCACGCATTCATTATTCATCTAACCAGTAATGCTAGATCCGAGGAGCCCGCAATGTTTGTTGGAACAGAAAAGGGAATTGTACCACCACAGTGCCCTGCGTACCAGACTTTCAATGCTTGTTTTCCAGCTGTTCACATTAGTTCTGGGGACTGGGGTCAAGAGAGATAGCCCAAATCACTGAGGAAGTCCCGTTAAGCTTGGAACTTTCATACCCCAGGGGGTGCTCTTTTAAAAAATGATTTTGTACTTTCCCCGTGATTTATAATGAAGCAATTCATGCTCTATAGGAGAAATGAAAACTACCAGGTACAACGTCAACATTGAACTATGACGTAATATTGCTGGACTTGTCCCTTAAAGTTGCCGTACAGTTTCCTACACTGTACAAATAGGGCATCCTATAAAAACAGGATTCATACCTAAATAACATCTCTACATTTTGAAAAACATATATTCCAGGTCGTCCTCCCATAACTCCTTACCATTCTCATGCAAAAGATTGATTTTCAACCTTATTTTTCTCAGAGGACAGGGCACTCTGTTTAGAAAAAAATTCCCCTTAGGTTCACCGCCTAGGAAAGTGTGCTAAATGGAGCCTGGCAGAATGATTCTGTGATCCAAACTGAATGTCTTTTTCACAGGATTGTTGGTGGGGCCACTTTAAAGGGGAAAGCCACTCCTCTTCTGCCATGAGGACAAGTTGCACTTGGGGAGTTGCACTGATGACAGTATCTGGCCTACACCAGAAATAATTCCCGGGCATAAGGGTGGACTGCCAGGAGCGAGCTGACACACCACTGACACGCAGACCTTGTCTTTTGTTAACACCTGGGAAGGCTTTCCCAACAGGCATTTCCAGTTTTATTCTTAAGCTCCTGGCAGCTGCTTTTTTAGAAGTCTGCTCTCTCCCAAGGGCCGACTATGGGCAGAAGCAAGGTGTTCTGTCTTCTGTGCCATCTTCATCTAACCCGCCACAAATATTCAAGATGACAGCCCAGGTATATGTTTCCCATCAATTCAGTCTGGCTGTGGGGTCCATTTTGCCTCTGCTGTTTCTGCCAAGGGCCTCTGGAAACCAGTTTGGTGGCAGAGAGTCCGCGTGAGGTCTCCACTCCATGGCCCTTGTTCCTTTGGCTGTTTCACCTTGGTTGCTCTTGTTGGCACAGTCTGTGAGGATTGGCTCTCTATCCACACTGGTCCATCTGTTCTGCCTTAGTGGTCCTAACTAGCTGTCTGAACTACTCCTTCAGAATAAATGTGAGATTGTCTTGCCATACATTTCTTTTACTCACATCTCAGACCTTCAGCTCTATTCTTTCTTTTCTTTCTTTTTTATTTATTTTAGAGAGAGGGAAAGAAAGAAGGAGAGAGATAGGAACATCGGCTACCTCCTGCACACCCCCTACTGGAGATCAAGCCCACAACCTGGGCATATGCCCTGAATGGGAATCAAACTGGTGACCTCTTGGTGCATGGGTTGATGCTCAACCACTGAGCCACACCAGATAGGCCTCAGCTCTATTCTTAAATAATAATAATTATAGGTCAAATGGAGTGGGTGGCCTAAGGTAACAGGCCTCCAGACTTTTAGGGGATTAGGTTAGGGTACAAAATAAAGATTTTATGTCACTTGGATCTTGATTGCAATCATTCCGACTCATGCGGAGTTGATACCAGAGTATTTGTCAGTTGTGGTTTTTGGTATGAATAGCATGTGGTTCTGTCTCAGCACCCAAAGAGATCTTCTTGGGAGGAAATGTTCTGGCATTTCAAACAAATTACCTTCATGCATAGATTTGACACTATGCCCTATGAAGTATGCATGCATGGTCAGTCCCTTGAAGGAATAATTTAATAGTGGGAAGAGGGGAGTAAAGAAGAAACATTAGGGTTATGTTTGACTCCTGTGAAAATAGTGTATAAACAAACTGCTTATCAGGAATGATCATATGGGGCTTTGCTTAAACAAATAATTCATGCACTAGGTCTGCAGGATATCTCTGCCAAGTAGACCTCCCTCAGAATATAAGCCACCACATCCACATCTGACCCCATGTGGAAAGGGGCATGGAAGCCAGGCCTAAATCAAATTCCATTTCCACCACATGCTGGGGGTATGGGCTCAGGCAATTTACTGAACCTCTCTGAGCCTCAGCCATCCCCATGAACTGTGGCTAATTAGATTATTTACCTCATAGCTAATACATGTCAGCTATTATTTTTAACCCTTTTTAACACATCCAGCTTCCCAGAGCATCTTCCAAAATCCCCTCCATACATACCACCACCACCACCACCACCACCACCACCACCACCACCACCACCGATACTGAACTTATTTATAAGTACTATGTAGAAACACAGCCCTCGCTCCATTGCTTAGACTAAATATATTGCTGTTTCGGGTTTGCATATTTTCTGTAGGAATCAATGCTCAGTGAAAAAGGATGGAGGCAAACAAATATTCTCAAGGCCCTGATACTCGTGGAACCACAGAATTGAATGTTCCCATATAGGTGCATGCTATTGGCTTAAGTGATGTGGATATTTTCTGACCAGCCATATGGATCTTTTGTCATCTGAGATGTTAATATTTTCCTTGTATTTTATAGTAGCTCTGGAGCATGGCCAGTTTCTTAAATAGGGTCCACATGGCTCATTATGCACAGGGCCTGAAAACTGGCTTACTTGCGCTATTCAGATGAACAGGACACTCAGAAGAGTTGGGGGCTGGGGTAGGGCAGTGAGCAGGGGGACATAGTCAATTATTTTTGCTCCTGCATTAAGCTACAAACAACGATCACTTCCCTGTGCTTTACAGTAAGCAATTAAAAGAAATTATAGAGTTGGATGCAAAAATAACCCGAAAGACAACTGGATGTGTGGAACCACCAGTTTTCTCTATGTGTGCAGGTTAATCCTCGTTAATGCTCAGAACATTGAGTTTCTACAGAAAGAGTTGCGTGTCCACACATGTTCTGGCATCTACCCACACTCTCTGTATGCTATGACTGTGCATCCCAGAAGAAGGGCTGTGCTATGTGCCTTTGCACTTCAGTGGAATTTAACGAACTGATTCCTGAAAATGGTCTCATCAAGGTGAGCAACAGAGAGCTGATAGCCTTCTCTCGCTAATTTTACCTTTCCCCTAGGATTTCTTGATAGTCGTTTTTAAAAGGAATGCTATTCTTTTGTCTCTAGAAGCAACTTATCTTTCCCGTTTCTTCCTCCACCTATTTTCACCTATCTTTTGATATATAATTTCAGAGAGGAAGGAAGAAGGAGAGAGAAACATTGATTGGCTGCCTCCTACACACTCCCCACTGGGGATTGAGCCCACAACCTGGTCATGTGCCCTTGACTGGACTCGAACCTGGGACCCTTCAGTCCACAGGCTGATGCTCTATCCACTAAGCCAAACCAGCTAGGGCTCTTTTGCTTTTTTAAAATGTAATTTTCTATGTCCCTCAGAGGGGGGCTCAAATCTAGAGAGATCTCTTCATCAATGAGCATTATCCATCCCATTCTCGCATTAGCCCTGCTGAATTAATGATGCTAAAGCCTTCCAGTTGGGACCTTCCAGTTTGAACCTACCTCTAATTATGTACAGATATTCTTTCTATAATGGGAATTGCTCAGGTAACTAATTAACCACAGCTATGGAACATTTCAGGAGCACCATCTGTGGAAAAACTGAGAAGGGCATGCCTTTCCCACAGCTCTGGGGTCCATTAAGGGTGTGTTTGTGTGGTGATGGTGTCTAGTGGGTGTTGGCTCACAGCTGTCACAGTTCCCATTGCATCTCATGGCAGGAACTCAGGATGTCCAGCAACACCCTAAAAGCAACCTGTTGCTATAAAGTCGCCAATTCTGAAAACGAGATTGGAATGGGACAGACTAGTCTTAACTTTCTTTGTTTTGTGTTATTTCTTTAATTGAGATCATTCTGGCACGTTCCCAGTCTCCACATTGTGGCAATCTTCTTTTCTTCAAGGGGATCCCCTTTATCCTCTGGTCTCAAAGAGTTACTGCATGTTCTCCCCTGAGGGACAAGGAATGCAATTGGGTCACCCTTGCATATTTTTTTTAGGTACAGAGCATGCTTATTCCTGGGTCCAGGAACTTTGAAGACAGTGCTCTGCTCTGCTTTCGCAACACCTCTTGGCGGTATAGGTGCGCCTTGTTTGTAATTTGGAGGGGACACCCCCTTATCTGTGTTGGCATCTGTACTATGTAGGACTTGAGGTGGAACCCAATAATACTTGGGGTACTGCCTGGGAAAAGTGTTCTGTGTCATCGCAGCCCTGCCCACTTGCAAATGATTTAACAGCAACACTGCGAGGGTTCCCAGTAGGAGTCATTTGCATCTGTACTGGTGAGCTTGGTGACTTCTTGGTGCTTGGAAACTGGCTTGTCTTTGCAGTCCTTTGTGAAAAGCCTACTGGACCAGTTTCCAGTTCTGTTTATGGAACTACGCCCATAACTCCCTCATACAGTGTTCAACTCAAAAACGTTTATATCTTTCTTTGGAAATTTAGCTTTTTTTTTCTTTTTACCATTTTGGGTACTTTAGTTTTGAGCCCAAATGTTGGAACCCAACTGAGAAATTGGGTTGCCTGTAGAGACTGGTTAGGGTTGGAGAGGGGATTTTGATGCTAGATATTTACACTAATGTTTTTTAAGGTTTTATTGCTGTTGCTGTTGTTTTATTTTGTGAGTTTTCTTTTTTCTTTCTTTTTAAAAAAATTTCTTGGTACTTGGTATGAGATGAAGTTTCTCTGTTTTAGGACAAGTCTAGAACTAAAAGAATCTCCATTGAATGGATGAGTCAGTTCTGCCTGCCCCTGTCTTCCCATTTCAGAACAGAGAGAACTTATAAGGTTCAGATACATTGGGCTACAATGTATGTGCCTGGAAATGTACCACCTGCTGTAGCTGGCGTGTAGTTTCTAGTGTGATTCTTATTGAGTGAGTGATGTTAGGCTGTGTAATTGATCAGGGAAGCCAGTTATGCTTGCGCTTGCCTTATAGCATTGAGATAAAAATTAGTGATTAAGTGGAAGGCCAGATTTAGATTAGTTAGTATTCTATAAATTCTCATTCATCCAATTACGTTTATAGGTATCTTGTACTTTATGATATAAATACCATAGTGGAAAAGCCAGTTGACATAAAGGGAGCCCTCATTTTACTTAGTACCATTACAAAAGCAAAAATGTTTTTTCTACATAATAAATGTTCCAATAAAACAAGTTGAACCAAGGAGGAAAGATGACAGATAAGCCTGTGGTATACTCAGAATGTACCACAGTACTTACGGTTGACTTTAACTCTTTCATTTCCTTTCTCTTTATCATTTAGTCCAGTGCTTCTCAACTTTAATAGTATCTGAATCAATTTGAATATATGAATCTTGTCAAAATGCAGATTCTGATTTAGTGGATGGGATAGGTGGGGTGGAAGAAGGGAAGCTAAGATTCTGCGTTTCTCATAAACTCTGTGGTGACGCTGCTGGCCCATGGACCACACTTTGAGAAGCAGGGTTTGTTTAATATTCATGCAGGAAGTTTGTCCATATGTACATTTCCTAAAACTTATTTCAAGCCCCATAAATTTCTCTTTTTGTCATATTATTTTTAGTCACAAATTTGAATTGCATTAATTTATAAATGCAACACTCAAAAATTACCTGAAGTTTGAGACTTTAGGTTGCATAAAATAAACTCTTACTCGGAATTTTTCTAAAATTTGAAAGTCTGTATGATTCAATGCAATTAAAATGCCTGTGCAACAATGATGTCTGTAGCTCCCTACTCACTACTTCCAGAGTCATTGTTCTTTTATGGAAATTTCCCCTGTGGTTTCACAGTAGCTGTAGACATCCACCCCTATCATTAAACGTGATGTATACTTGATAATTTTTCTAAATCTCACTGACACTTATGGAACCAGGTAGGTGGTATCTTCTAAATTAAAATTACAGTCTACCATGTATGGGAATTTGATAAGTAACCCATTGTTTTTGGCAATTTGGTAGTTAGAACATTGTTTAATCTGAACTTTACTTTAGTTCATTATAATAAATCCCACCTGAAATTCTAAAGAAAACAGAGAATCGTAATTAAAGAGGGCACACTTTTTTATTGAATGCTGACTGCCATTTGGTTCTTATAACCTACAAAATAGTGGTTCTAAAATATATTTTAAACAACATTTTTAGACAGCCTACTCATTTGATATGCAAGTGATTTGTATATATGCTCGATGCTAAGACTTCCTTATCATGGACTAGAGCAGTGCTCTGTTTGGGCAGTGTTTACCCTGAGGAAGAGGAGAAGATGGTGAGAACATGGATAGGACTGCCAGCTCTGGGTGGCTCTAGCTTTCAGGGATTATTCTTTAGTTACAGTGGGACAGTAGGTTTCCCAAGGAAGTAGTGATGGAGGAAGCACTTAGAGATCTTTGGATGGTGACAGCTGTGCCTGGGACTGGAATGCCAGGTGGGGTGTTCTCTGCCCTAACCTGGCCCTTGTTCCAGGCATTTACTATCCCTTATTCCAGAATTCATTCCATCATTACAGTTCACTTTACCCAATTTCTATGCTAATAGAGAATATGGTTTAGTTTAACTTTTGGGTAAGGTAGATCTCTAACCAATAGAAAAATCCTCACTCTTTCAGGTATGGGGCAGGGAATACAGGGGGTTAATAGAGGACTAGAGGTAAAATGCTTTCTATTAAAGATGAATGGAACTTTATCTATCAAATTAATGATTCAGGGAAATATACTTTTTTTTCATGGTAGTTACATGTATGTATCACTCTGGGTATGAACTGAGAACCAGCAGTGTCTCTGGCACTCTTGGTGAGGCTAAGAAATGTCTGCAAGTGTCCACACTGTGAGTGTACCAGGGAATCAGCAAGTACTCTGGTCTGCAGGACTGTTTTGTAGGAAGTGTAATTGGATACCATGGACATAACATTATGGTTAAAAACTACATTTTTAAAGGCACTTCCTTCAAAGCTTTGGAACAGCTGTATTATCAGACATCATTTACTAAAATATTTATTGGTTTCAATTGGCTGGTCATTCAGGTAAGTAGGTGAGCATCTATAATGATCATCAGCTCCTTCCTTCCTCGCCCTCCCCCCCACCATTTTGGTTATGGATTTCAACTACCAATTATTTTCTTTGAGGAGTGTGAAGTGTTTTTTTGTTTTGTTTTGTTTTGTTTGTTTCTGTTTTTTAGGCTTCTTAGCTAAATAATGTATACCTAATGGGAAAATAACTTAGAGGGATGGAAGAAACTAGTGCCTGTAGCTGAAGGCCTAGTTTTCCTTTGGAATCTGAGGTCCTGACCTTGTTCTATCAGGGGAACCACAGCGAGTAGAGGAGTTGATTAAAAACTCTGGTCCTTTTTTCCTCCGGTACGAAACAGGGATAATTATAGTTACCTATACCTCCAGGGTCCTATGACTCTTAATTACTTAATATTTGCAAAGTGTTTGGAGATCTTTGAATTAAAAGTGCTGAGCAGTGGAATCAAAGTTCAGTGTAATTATAATTGGAATGAAAGTTTATATTCCCGCCTTCCTTTCACATTCCAACATGCTGTCTTTTTGGCCAAGCCAAACAGTACTCATGATTACCACTTAGCCCACTTCTCTCTCTAACCATGTTTCTTTTTGTAACTCACTTCAGCCTAAAAATGAATGAATGAATGAAGTTTAAAATCTATCTAGACCCTTAACCCCACCCCCACACTTAAGTAACTATTTAATATTTCTTTTTAAAGTTCAGTAGCCACTAGAAATAAAACCAATAAATTAATTCACCTCTTCCAGTCTATCATTCTTTTGGGTCCTCCTACACATGGTGAGGAACTGGGCTTCCTGAAGCATTCTGCTCAGAAACTCTCAGCAGTTCTTTTGTACCTGTAAGGCAGGGGCCAAACTCTTTAACATCATCCTCAGAGTCTTCCAAAATCTGACAATCATTCACTCTTATCTCTCACTATTTCTATCCAGAACTCTTCTCTCCGGAAATGGACTGCATGCTTATCAACCTTCATGCTTTTAACCAAGCTGCAGTCCATCCAC